TAATATATATATATATATGTACACACATTCTTATAACATATAAAATTAATTACAGTTATATCCAAATTATACTCAAGATTATTATATCAACATAATTACAAATCATATTTACTGGAGAATTATATTTTAAAATAGTATAACTTAATGTGTTAAGAGTATGTTAGGATCATTACAGGAAACAAGTAATGAAAGATTTGACAGATCAAAATCAAGAATGATCGAAAATATAAAACTATCATGTGAAAAGAAAGAACCTGACGATGGTTATCATCAGTGATAAGTCCATCTTTTCCTATTGCCATTATATCGCGAATAATCGTTAGAACGATGGTTATTGTCTCTATTATAATATGGCTTTTCATCTCTGTAGTAATCGTTATGATTACGTTCTCTATTTCTTTCCCTGTCTCTATCCCTATTCCTATCTCTATCTCTAATTTTGTCCCTCTCTCGAAATTTATCCCTATCCCTTTGATAGGGGTCCATTCTTTTAAGATTTCTATCATTATTGGGATTCATCTCCAACAATGAAAAATTGCCTATTTGATGACTTTGCTGCAATAATTGAACTTGCTGCATCCTGTTATTCATATACTGATCCATAGTATTATCTATTTTTTGTGCTTCAGTGTTGTTCCTTGGTTTCATCGTAAGAATACGATCATAAAGTGCTGTACCCTTAAATAGTTGTAAAGCATACTGTACAGAGTTTACATGTTTATATGTAATGAACCCAAATGTTCTTTGTTTGCCATCACGGTCTTTAGGAATGGATACCTTTTCTAAAGGGCCTGCCTGAAAAATGATTCACATATAATTGAAATTCTATATATATATATATATATATATATATACACACATGTATATCAACATATATACATGCAAGCAATACTTGAATATTTTCAGTAATAATACTTAATATCCTACATATAAAATTAATAATGATATTTGAATGTTTTTTTATATAAATAATTACATAAAAAGCGAAAATAATAACTACACTTTTGTCTCTTTTCAAGTGTTTTTAATTTGTGTAGATCTCTTACAGGTTAAATTAGGTTATAACAGGTGCTTTCCATTTAGCAACACAGATCAACACGAGACAACTTTTAATGCCATTTCTGCCTTCTGTTTAATTTGTATCACTGTGTGCGAGTGATGCATGTCGAGCTCTCTCGAAAAGAGTAATCGCATACTTAGTAATTCGTGTAGACACAAATAGATGTAAATATTGAAATGTTATGTAAATGGAAAACACTCAACGTGTTATTTCTAGGATTATAAGATAAAATACTAACTTGTAAAAATAGTTCATAGAGAATGTCTTCTGTCACTTTGTTGCTTATATTTCCGCAATAAATTGTACGCGCGTCTTCGTCCATATTGCTTTGTTTACACATTCAGCTCGGTCTCGTTTTCGTGAAATATGTGTGGCTGCTAATAGAGCATCTATAAAGGCTATGTTCCGAGTATTCACTGCCAATACTGAAAATCTATAGTTCATGTCACGTACACTATATTTTTTCAGTACTGGCAAGTGAATATCGGGACCAGTGATGCCAATGACGGCAACGAGCCACACAGCCGTGCGCGTGCGCAGCTTCGACCGTCTTCGGCTGACTTGACGCAAGCCGACGATCTGCTGTCTCGTTCTTCGATAGCTATTGGTTAACTACGGCTAAAGCTGGCGGCGCTTGTTTTCGTGCTGGATAGAAATACTGCGTTCTGATTGACGTATTTCTATCCATTTTCGAAAATGCATCAATCAGAACGCAGTATTTCTATTCAACGAGTAGTCCAGCACAAAATAAGCACAGTGTGCCGTTGACTTAATAGGTCTGTTCGTTTTCGCTGCACCGCTGAACTAGTTCAATAAGTTGAAGCGAGACAAGTATATGTTTTCTCACTCCAACTTATTGCACTAGTTCAGCGGTACAGCGAAAACGAACAGACCTAATATTACAGCTATCTCGCGCCGAGTTCACAGACATGGCCGTGCGACGCTTGTTGCGTTACGACTCGGTGCTACTATTGGCATCACTGGTTGTCTGTTCTTTTGTTAGCTGCACTGCTGAACTGTTGTATCGAGACAAAATATATTTCTCTCATTGGCTGAGTTCAGCAGAGAAAGCAGTTTTGCAACTGTAACATTCTTGAATCTCATTGGTTTGTGCTTTTAATTTTGATTGAATTCAAAAGCATACATCAATCAGATTCATGAATTTACATATAAACATATGAAACGCAATTATTTGTGCGTCTTTTTCTAATTTGCATTTGTGTGATAAATACGCAATACGTAGTATACAAGGAGTTTCATTTTAATATAATCGAATATTTCAGAAACTAATAAAAACTATGAACCGTCCATATGAATTTCTAGGCACAATTAATAAAATTAAAAAACAGAAAAGTGGTGGATTGACAAAAGCTATTTTTCTTTCTTTCATTTTTTTCGCACATTTTTCATATTACAAGTTTATAATTCGAGCATAATGTAGCACAAACCTAGTACACATCAGCGCCCCCAACTTCTTACAAACAATTCTCTATAAACTTTTATTCACCGCTAACTAATACATTACTTATAACTGTAATGTTCCGCGACGATATAGTACGTCAGGAAAATAATCATATCAGTTAAACTGGTCATCGTTATCGGGATATATGAAACTGCGTTCCTGCAGTTATCATCTACGCTAATTTGACACAGTTTACCTACAGGAGGTTACTAATTTTTTTCATATATGCTAAATCCCCTAAGTCTTTATTCTTACCTCGTCAGTAATAATAATATATTATTAAACAATAATATATTAATAAACGACAGAATTCATAGTTGTTACCTTCAACAGGTAATATTGAAATTCTCGCTATAGGAAACATATATCGACCGTCGGTAAAACACTCTATATCGATAAGGAAGAAAGCATCTTTTATCAGTAATAGTTAAAGTCTCTCGAACTGATATGTCCGCCATGTGCCTCGTGTCAGTTGACGGAGAAGTAATAATAATAATAATACCAAAGAGTAAATACATGAACACATTCAGTAATCGTCGACGTGAGAGCGGAGGGTCCGTGAAACGGAGTGAGACAGAACGTATACAAGCAAACGTGGGGAGCACGTGGCGCGTATCGTCCTCACAGTCCATGACCTACGTCACTGTATTATAATCTACGAGTAGAATTTATTGCACCGTACAACGTGAACGCGCGTTCTTTCTTCGTGCGCGACAGAGAGAGAGAAGGAGAGCGAAAGGGGGGAAAAATACATTCAACGAGCGCGTAACAACGCGTGTTCCAGTGATTGTGTTTAAACACTTTCCGCCCTGCCTTTCTCCTCATCCGCTGTCTATATTACTCAGTCGTTCGCTCTTCACCGTTCGATTCTTTTATCTTGGACAAATTGCCGAAGAAGAATCTCGCGCGAAAGGCCTCTCACGAATCCGTCGCGTCTTTTTTTTCCCAAGCATAGACGACGACGACGACGACAAGGGTAGAGAGATGGTCAGTGGGTGGTATCCCTCGACCCTTTCGCCCACTTCCGCCCCTTCTGACCACCCGACCCAACCCATGCCGAGGCAACCTCTCTTCCGCCTCCTCATCGCCGCAGTCGCCGTCCCCTGCGCCACGCTGCACAGCACCACGCCGCGCCGCATCACACCGCGCCACGCCGCGCCGCGCCGTGCCGCGCCACGCCGTTCCCCCCCCCCCCCTT